CCCCAAAACCCCAAAACCCCAAAACCCCAAAACCCCTGCTGCATTATATTAAATTGAATAATTATGAATTTTCGCGAGAAATGCAGAAGCCAAGTTCATCCTCCTCTTCAGAGATTTGGCTACCTGAACAGGCGGTGTAGCTATCTTCACCAGATGTAAGTCAGACTCATGGATTTTTCTGATCGCTTTCTAGACCTTTCAAGCTAAACAAGGATGAACTTGATTTACATAAAGAAGACTCTGTTTCATCTATTGATGAAAATGAGCCAGTTATTAATCTTTCCAGAGAGAGGTCTCAGGGAAAGCCCCAAGAATATTTCAGGGCTAGACTTGGAGAAAAGATAAGTATGTTATTTCCTGCTAAATGTTTGCGATTGATCTCACTCTCTGACGGGTTAAATCCAGTGCATAAAATTCCTGAGAATTTGCTATTTTACTAACAAATTTTCCTATGTTTACGCTTAAACTATAGAAACTGTCCATAAAACAGAAGTTGAGGAGACAAAGCAGAAGGAGAAGCTCAAGAGTAGGCTCCCTTTCAAGTCTTCCCCCTGGCCAAGGATAAAAAGGGGCAAGAAAGTAGGTAAATATATAAAATTAGTTTTAATACCTCCCAAGTTTTAATTATTATTATCAACCTGTCTCATCATTGTGTTCTCTTTTGCTCCTTATGAGTCCACAAGAGTTTTCATAAGTCTAGCGAACTTGGCTGGTTGGCTACTTAGCATTTTATTTTGACCATGAAGCCTCTCACTGGAATGAAGTAATCAAATATAGGTAAATAAATGCAAGAAGCAAGTTCATAATCCAGAGGATATTATCTTTACCTCCAGAGATGTCCGTGGCAGCGTCCCTAACTTCAAATGTAATATCTCGTCCATTATGAAGAACAAGGGAGGCAACCTCGTTGGTAAAATGGGTTATCTTTGAGGTAAGTAGTTAATCTCAAAACATTTCACCGTGATCAGCTTATAAAGGCTGATGAATATACTTTATACGAAATATTCTTTACAGTGAACTTGCTTAAGGATATTTTGGCCATTGGAAGCTAATCCATGAGATCTTGATCCTGATCTTGTTGCTGAAAGCAGCTAGTAGCTAAAGCTCTTTCATAGGATTAAAATAAAGAACTTTAAGGCAGAGTTTATTCTCATTTCTTATTAATAAAAAGAAGTTAAAGGCTGTATGGAAGACAAGCCATAATTTTTGTTTATGAATAATAAGAGAACAATGATCAATATTTTAGCATTTTTCAGCCAATTTTCCATTAACCCTTTGGTCTAGAATCAGATGTAAACAAGATAGGTAAATATCACCCAAATATGAAGATGTCGAAAAAGTAAGATTTACTTGTACTGTTAACAGAACTTTTCCGTTCATATTTCTGTGAGTTCTTTATTTAATGAATTCCTGCTGATCATGCTGTAGGACTCAAGTTGAAGGAAAACCGAAGGGAAAACCTCAACTGATTTTTAAGGAGAGAGTATTTGGAAAGCCAAAGAATGCTCGTGCCCAGTCTCATAACTTGGGCCCGAGGCTATTAAATTAAGTCCTAGGAGTATTCAAGCTACGGGATATGATAATTTGAGGCTCTTACCTTGCTAGAGAAGGAATTCTAAGGCTCCTGTTTACCAAATTTTGGGAAGAGTCCTTGAAAGCTGCCTTAATAACTTTCATTTCTTTATTAAAGTACTCTATTGAATTTGCTATTCAGAAATTGTTAAGAATAACCTCCGATTTATAAATGAAAACAGCTAGTTCTTATTCTTTGAGCCAATAGATAACTACGTAGTCTCAAGGGATAAAGAAATACATCCTCGTAGATGCTCACTATTTGAATCTTCTGACAAGTCATCTCGTTCTGACATCTTGGGAGCAACCTCCACACAAATTATTCAACAATGATTCTAAATAGAGGGGTTTTGGGGTTTTGGGGTTTTGGGGTTTTGGGG